CTACAGGAAGCCCGAGGCAGAGTTGCTCTGCCCTGGGCTTCCTGGAATCAGCCGCTGATCAGTTTCAGCAGCAGCTGACTTGAAGACACCTGGGTTTCTTAAACTGAATCCGTATGTAAGTCAGAACTGGTGTCCAGATTCAGCCACTGTTGAAACTGATCAGGCTTGCCAGACTGAAACATCAAGAACTTTAGACGGTAGGAAACTCTATTTTTAACTTCAGAGCTTCATGTACTGCAGTAGTAATATCACAGACAAAGAAAAAGTAAAATTAAACATTTAATAATTTGCTTCCATCCAAGAACTATGCTGAACAGAGATGTGCCATCAGCACCTCATACTGCTCTAAGTTTCCCAAGCAACCTGCCAGTAGTGCTGACTGCTGTAGCTAGTGAATCACCACTGTCCAGAGACTGTTGGCAGAGAGAATGACCCTACTTCTCTGATCCCTTCCCTGACTTGTTCCCAAAAAGGAAACAGGAGTGAGCAGTCCTTGCACTCTGCTAATGTAAAAGTTCTTTGCTCAGAAGAGAGACAGAAAGGGTTTTTTGCCCAGCCTTACTCCCTTCTGTGTGGCCAAGCAAGGGCCTTTAGAGGTTGTACAAAATATAATGTTGCACAATGGCATTCGCTATTTTAGGGGAGTTTTTCACATATAAAATGATGATTAAATCAAGTCTTCCCTTTATCAGTTCCATGACAAAGCTCAGTCCACCCATTTCCCCCCTCTAAGCTATGCCTACACAGACAGGATACTGGGCTAGATGGACCTTTGGTCTGACCCAGTACGGCCGTTCTTATGTTCTTATATATGTTCTTATGTAGAGCTGGAAAAGACCTCAGAAGGTCATCAAGTCCAGAACTGGACACAATGCTCCAGATGTGGCCTCACCAGAGCCGAATAAAGGGGAATGATGACATCTCTAGATCTGCTGGCAATGCTCTTCCTAATGCAACTTAATATGCCAATAGACTTCTTGGCTACAAGGGCACACTGTTTTCTTTCTTACCATAAGCTGTTAACACCCATTCTGATTTAATTAGCACTGGTGTCTCACTCCCATCTCTGTATCTTTTTTCCTTCTTTCTGCCTGTTTCTTTTTCTCTCCAGCATCTGAAGATGTGAGTTGTCGCCCACGACTACTTATGGTCTAATACCCCAGTACATTTTTTTTTATTCTTTAAAGTGCCACCAAACTCCTTGTTGGGTTTTATGTAAACTTTGTTTGAAATGTAATCCTGCACATGTCATGAACTAGGCCTATCCAAAGCATGCTGAATGCTTTACCATAGAGAAACACCAATACAAGTGAAGTCAGATCCTGCATTAAGTTCTGTTTAATTTACAATCTCTCTGCCCCCTTTACTTCTCTGCTCTGGATCTGTCTCCCTCCAAATAAACTAAGCTTTAGCCCTGGCTTTCTACCATCTCCAGGCAGGTGGCTGCCTATTAACAAACTCAGTTTGGCCAAAGGCAAGCTCTTTATCTTTCCATCCTGATACTAGCTAAAAATACTTTGGTCTAGAACTGCCGAGGATTCACGTTTTGTGTTTGCTCTCCAAGTGTAACAGTGGGGAATAGCTGGATAACACGTGATTCATTCCCCCATCATATTTTTCCTGGCGTATTTCAGATCTTGTAATTGTGTCACTAGTCAGTTGTAATTAATACCAACTCCTCCTCGCTCCTCCTGAGCAAGGAAAGGGAAGATGTTCTTGGACTAAGCTTCCTCACATGCATCCATGAGACAAGTTTCCCCAGCAGCACCCTATCTCCCAGGTAGCCACATGCCCCTCGTACCCCAGCATAACCCTCCTGAAATGTTGGCACCCCCACCCCCGGAGAGAGGCCTGTGTCTGCAGTCCAGCGAAGGCTGCAGTGCTGAGACAGAGGGTCTGACTCTAGCTGCAGCCTAGATGGGAGCATGTCAAGACACCTCTCCCATCCCCACTTCACTGCACAGATGCCACCTCATTCCCCCACCCTCACCCATGCAGGCAGCTCCCCCCACCCCCAACCCCCCCCCCACCCCC